GCTAAAACTAATATTAAAAACAGGAGAGGAGTTGAGTTGGTATTAAATAGCCTTAAACAGGTAGTTGTAAGTGGTCAATTTGAAAATTCAAATAACCAGCAATGTGTAAATGAAAGCGCATTGGGTACATTAAGCTTGCTTTGTTCTGAGGCCAGAAAAAATGCTTTGACTGAATCATAACAATTGGACTTGGGGCTTTTCACCAAAGTAACGTTCTCCCCTAAGTGTCTGGGCTACCCAGTAAGATAGTACCAGTTACTCTTGTCTGTCCATGACAGGAACTGTATGGACCAGAACACCAAGGTAACCACCTACTCATCTCGAAAGATGTAATGGATTCTTTAAAGTGCATGTGAGCCAATTGTGTACACTAGGCCTATAGTTTATAGTCCTTATCTGAGAAGACATGTTCCACCACCAGAACCACAGGGGTAACGTGCCCTTTCGAACCAGCACCGATATTATGGCTGTGGGTTGTGGCACCCCTGCCTTAACTGCTCGGCCATTTGACTCGCCTATACATCAGTCAGAAAATGTGTTTTCAATTCAATGCAAATATAACTTTAGCTGAAAGTTAGACAACAGTATAGTGATGGACCAGTGACTATCCCACAATTATAGTCATATTTGTAATAAGAGAGCCAACAGACAATTTTCTTTTTGTCATTAAACATCAATTAGACTTGAATATGTTAAACTGAAAATTGTTCAACTTACTTGACAAAGTCTGGAGCTTTAGAGATCACATGTTCAAATTCAGCGAAGGACAGGTGATCATCATCATCGAGATCAGCCTCTTCAAAAATCTATAAAACAGAAAAAATGTGGCTTATTGTTAAAAAAACACATACTTATCTGAAACACACAAAGAATCTCATCAAAAATGTACACATAAACATTGATAGCGTGTGCCAGTATACCTCACAACAATTAAAAAAAAGCACACACCATCAATTAGCCATGTCGTTTAAAAAAATAAATCACACATAGGTAATTTCTTTTGATGCATTAATGAAACTCCTTCATCAGAGAACACTGCCAACAAGCTGTAAGTTGATTATCCCAGCCTAAAGCTATAACATTGGCGGCAGCCTAGTCTATGGTTCTGGTGGTTGAACAATTCTTCTTGGATAATGACTATAAACCTTATTCCCAGCGTACAAAATGGCTTGTGTGCACTATAAAGAACCCAGTACATCATTTTAGACAAGTAGGGGGATACCCTGGTACAGACAGCATTGTGGTGAATGACGAGAGTTGCTGGTACCGGTTTACTAGGTGGCATAGCATGAGCATCTTGTTTGATGGATACTGCCGCTATACAAATCTACACTATTACTGTTATCAAGAAGACCAAGTTGTACCCTTTTACATGGACTACTGTAGTACAAACAATGCCCAACTAGTTTCCCAGCGTACAAAATGGCTTGTGTGCACTATAAAGAACCCAGTACATCATTTTAGACAAGTAGGGGGATACCCTGGTACAGACAGCATTGTGGTGAATGACGAGAGTTGCTGGTACCGGTTTACTAGGTGGCATAGCATGAGCATCTTGTTTGATGGATACTGCCGCTATACAAATCTACACTATTACTGTTATCAAGAAGACCAAGTTGTACCCTTTTACATGGACTACTGTAGTACAAAGAATGCCCAACTAGTCAACACTGGTATTTCTAGGACTATCCATTTGAATGCAGATACTGTTAAACTTGCCTAAGTCAATCTAATTTTACATGGCAAATTGTTGTGTATTCCATTATATAACAATCTGTAAGTCGAATCTTAACTAATTCGAACAATATTTCAATGGCATTTTGGATTCGACTTAGGCAAGTTCAACTTAGGTCAACAAGTGCATATAATAAGTGTTGGCCCATGAACACAAGCAATGTGACAGTGGCGGCAACAGCAGTTCGACAGGCCTATTCAGGCCAGACTTCGGCAACTTGTGGGAGACAGAGCTCTGAAATCCTAGTTTTTGGTTGTCAACACAGGTTTGATGAGTGTATACTAATTTTAATGTGACACTTTAAAAACCATGTCTTATTACAAGGCTTAGACGTGAGAAAAAATCTTGTGCTTCTTCACATAATTTTAACCCTGGGATTTGGAGACAAGCAGGTTATTCACCAAGCTACAACTCTACTTTAATATACAGTATTTGTTTTCTGGTCCCTGAAACCATTATTTGGGCAATAGCTTCTAAATTTCAAACTGTTGGCAAATACAAAATCTGAATAATATTATTTACTGTGAGAAAAATACACATTTAAATACAATAACCAAAAAACTTTTGACAACAAAAGTGTATACAAACACATTAATAGTCTAAGCATTTTGAGTTTCAATACTGATGGAGATAATATGTTAGTCTCAAAATATTATTAATCTAAAAACAATATCTTTTATTTTGCCTTACATTATTTATAAGATGCTGCATGTCCTCATCATTTAGAGTCTGTTCACCAGTCAACCTGTTGATGACCTTTCTTAGGTCACTGCTTCCGATAAAATCATCCTCATCAAAATCTGTAAAGAAATTATGAAGCTGTCAACACACCACATGAAAAAGAAATAATGATAATAATTCTGGATTTATATAGCGCCTCCCGTTGACACAACCTCGAAGCGCTTGAACATTATTACCCCCGGATCACTGGATCAAGCACATATGGAACACACACTCAAGCCCCATAGGGGAATTCCATAATGTTGCAGCTGTATTCAGCGCAGGCTGTGTTTGAACCTACCACTTGTACAGTACTCCTGGGTGGAGAGAGACAACCGTAGATAAAGTGCCTTGCCCAAGGACACAAGCGACTTGCAGATTTTATCTGATAATTCCAAAACTTTGTCCTGTTATTCCTAACTTTTGAGTTGGACAAGAGCCACAACTAATTTCAATATCACAGTAATAATTTTTATGTTAATAAGATTCTATATATTTTTTGGGTAATTCAGTGTCAAATCAACCAGAGGTCCCAGGTCAACCGTCTCGGATTTTGATGAAACTCCATAAAAATAATCCACTATTTGAAAAATCAACATACACAAAAGATTAGCCCTACTGGATATGTAGTTTCCGAGAAATTTATATATATTATATATAAATATATATTTCCATGCCATGGGATCATAGATTTTTTACATTTTTTATACTGACAGTTATTCATGTGAATTGAAAAACCTGAAATTCAAAGTTAATTTCAGAGTGCACTAATTTGTGCCATGCCCCCTTTTACATCAAACTGCTGCTGCGGGAAAACAAACAGGAATTGGAGTCTAAAAATTTCAGGTTTTTCAATTCACATGAATAACTGTCAGTATAAAAAATTTTAAAAATCTATGATCTCATGGCATGGAATGACCCAACTATTAAAAACTTTTATTTCCGATTATGTTAAAAATATGTGTAGTTTTCAACATAGTATCTAACCATGAAGGAGCTGAGTACCAAAGCTGAAATTTGGTGTATAAGTAGATCTAATATATCTGATTAACTGGTGTAAATTTAAGAAAAGATTTTAACTGTCCACATGATGAACCGTTATAGGGAAACATAGGCTTTTTTTTTTCACTTTTTTAGGGCTGGTCCCAACTTTGAATGGATGCCATTCCATTTTTATGGAGTTTTATCAAAATCTGAGAGGGTCATACTGGAACTTTTTTGAAATCTGGTTGATTTGACACGGAATGACCCTTTTATATTATTTTCCTTATATTCACACTCGGTTTCATATAATATTGTTCCACTTTTTGCTTTTAATATAAACAATTTTATTGACAGTTTATAGTCTTAGTAGTTTGAAGAAGTATTGTTATAAATTAAATGAATGTACTGTAGTTTCTGTGAATCGGACAAATTGCTGAAAGGACAAATTTTTATCGAATGGTTAATTGGGAAGGGAAGCGAATGCTACCTCTTCGCAGGGGTCTCCCACAATTTCGCAAGCAAGAAAAATCTCACAGCATTTCCCATTTCCTGCATATTCATATAGCATTTGAAGTCAGTGCCGAAGGGCATTGCCATGCGCAGCAACATACAATTCTAGTTAATTTAACAAAGCTTGGTTAACTAGATCTCCCAGAAGTTACATCTTCCACCTTGGGACCCCTATCTTCAATAACGTTTACCCTTAATTGAAGAGGGGTAGCCTGAAGTGTAATGAAAATAAAGAAGAAATCATACCATAAATTCTGAAGGCATATTCTGCCTTCACAGACTTGGGTGCATTGTCACTGAACACGGACATCATATCAAGGAAGTCCTCAAAGGAGATGCTTTTGTCATCACTAGATGAGAACGTGGCACATATGCGATCTTTAAAAGGGTTCACATGTAGCTCAGGTAAAGTCAGTATTGTGTCCATGCTCAGCCTAGCATTCTTGTCATTTCTTACTTTATCAGGATCAAGGAGGTGGAACCTTTTGTGGACACTGCACATAGAGAAATCATAATACTGTTACTTAAAAGTAAATATTTTATTGTCATGATAAAAAAATAACATCTATAATTTATTATTGTAATATAAATTTGATAGGCGGAATAATATTGGAAAAGTCTGCTTAATTATATGATATGATTTTTATATGAAAATATATCAAAATGTATCCACCTGTAAAAAATTGCACTGCATTTCTGGATCAAATTTAAATTAATTGATTCAATTTTTTTAATGGGTTTTTGGGACTCATATACAGTGGTTACACTGGACATTAACATGAGTACTACTACATGTCAATGTAAATGCTCCTCTGTGGACAATGCGAACACGTTCCATTTAGTAGTACACAGGCGCGGATCCAGGATTTTCCCCGAACTTCACACTGATGGGGTAGTCCTTACAGTGGTGGATCCCGAAATTTTGTAATAGAGTGGGGGGGGGGGGCAGAATCTCGCCCTGACAGCGAATGGTGCAAAGTAAAGGCCTGGATACGAGCCTGGTATCCATGTGAGTTCAGACACCGCAAAGGCCGGTAAAGCTCATAAAAAAGTCAATTTATCAATTAAAGAATGGATAAAGCTTATTCTTACTGTAATATCTCTTTCTTGCTGAAGAAAGTCAATTCCTGGAAATAAGAGAAATAAGAATAAGATGACAATTAATTATAATGTTATTTTTAGATACTGTATCTTCTATGATAACAACAATTATTTATAGTATAGCTGGTGTGGTAGGTTTTTCATATACTGGCTTGTCTATTTAAGTGTATTAGAGTTTTTAGCCTATATATTAATAATATATTTAGCAAACTTATTACATCTTCACAGTGGTAATCACGTTCACATGACAAAAATAGTCTACACCGAGACTTCAAGTGGAGTAGTATAGATAACAAGGCCCATTTTACTACTGTATCTGCTTTCAAATATTCAATTTAAAAAACTGAAAATGTGTCTTAATTAATTAATAAATTAAAGGCTACAGTAGGGCCTCTAGCTACAGTAGGCCTAGATTTGGTCATCTGCCTAGCTAGCCCAGTTGGACCAGGCGGGATATGACCGGTTGAGCCGCCGACAAGTTGAGCCGCCGGTAATTTCTATGGAACGCCAAGCGCGTCTTTCAGTGAATGTAGTGCCTCTCAGTGAATGTAGTCGGCTTGCCGATGTCATCAGTGAATGAACCCCCTGGATACCAGCTACTCTCTTATACACATCT